ATTATTTTCTATGAGTTCAGATTTTTCTGTTTCATGTTTCTCAAGATCAGATGCAAGACTTTTCTTGAGTTTCTTGTATTTTATTTTGAGCTGACTGTAGTTTTCCAGAAGTTCTGATAAACTATCAGCAAGTTCATCTCTGGTAAATTCAGAAAATACCTCTCTTGGTTCTAACTCACAATCTGAGTCATCTGCTGTGGTAGCCATCAGAGCTAGGTTGGCATTCTCATCTTCAGAATCAGATTCATCTTCAGAGGATTCTGAATCGTCCCAGGTTGCCATCATCCCTTTATTTTTACCAAACTTTTTCTTTGGTTTCTCTCTCTGAAGTTTTGGACAATCATTCTTGTAGTGTCTAGGTTCTTTGCATTCATAACAGATTATTTCTCTTCTATTTTACTTTTTGTGTCCAGAAGATTCTGGTTTATCTTCTGACTTCTTGAAGTTCCTGAACTTCTCCTATTTGTGCTTCCACAGATGATTGATCCTTCTGGAGAGCAAGGATAGTTCGTCTTCTTCTGAAGCAGATTCTTCAGAGTTTTCCTCTTCAGCCTGAAAAACGTTAGTATCATATTTCTTAATTGATTTAAGGGCTAGAGACTTACCTTTCTTCTGAGGCTCGTGCTCATCAAGTTCTATCTCATGGCTTCTGAGAGTGCTGATGAGTTCTTCAAGAGACATGTTGTTCAGATCTTTTGATACTTTGAAAGCAGTGACCATAGGTTCCCATCTTCTAGGTAAGCTTCTGATGATCTTTTTAACGTGGTCTACTTTAGTGTATCCCTTGTTCAAAACTCTCAGATCAGCGATCAGAGTTTGAAACCTTGAGAACATTGCTTCTATAGATTCAGTTTCTTCTACTTTGAAGGCTTCAGACTTCTGGACGAGAGCCAGAGATTTAGACTCCTTCACTTGAGCGTTTCCTTCATGAGTCATTTTAAGAGACTCAAACATATCATGTGTTGTATCTCTATTTGTGATTTTTTCATATTCCACTTTAGAGATAGCATTTAGAAAAATATTTCTAGCTCTATGATGATTTTTGAAATCAGCTTTTTGTTGTCTATCCATATTTTTTCTATCAATCTTATTTCCTTCTGAGTCTGTAGGATGTGTGTAACCATCCAAGACTATATCCCATAAATCACTATCATGACCTAGAAAGAAACTTTCTAGTCTATATTTCCAATAATCAAAATCTTCTCCATCAAACATTGGAGGTCTGGTGTAGTTATTGTTGTTTTGTTCATTTGCCATAATGTTTTCTTCTGGATCTTTTCCTGACACGGTTAAGTGTTGAACTTAGAATCAAGCTCTGATACCAATTGAAGGTGGAGAAAACACTTAGAAGGGGGGGGGGGGGGGGGTGAATAAGTTTCTCGTTTTCTTTTTCTTAAATTCTTAACAATAATGGAAAGACAAGGTTATTTTTATCCTCATTCGTTTGAACTCAAACTACTCCAGTCCACCCGCCAAGGTGATTTCGCCTTTCTCAACAAGGACTTAATCCACTATAATCAACTGATTACAATCACACAACAATTGTTGTGACTAACAATGCACAAGTAATCTTACAAGTGACTCACACCACTAAGACTTAAACTAGTCCTAGTCTACTTGAGAAATCTGACCAAACATGGTCTCTCAAGGAACAATTACAAGAGATAAATATTTACAGATGGTGAACCAAAGTTTGCTTCTAAGAAAGCTATATCACAACTGTGTTTTTTCACTAAGAATAGTATAGCACAAAGTGTATGAAATTTGTTTGTGAGTCCAAAATATTTTTGCTTAGTTCTTGCTTCTTTTGAAATTGTTCAGTTCTATTCAGAACTTCAGCTGTTCAATCTTTCAGTATTTTGGTTGAGCAGTTTTTCAGTAGTTAGCTTGCAATTAATGTTCTTCTATATATAGCATGAAGAAACATGACCGTTTCTGCCTTCAAATGGAGAGCATTAAATGTTTGCGTGTTTCCTTGCACTATTCCATTTTCCAATGCACTAGCGTAGACACTTGAGTGCATGTAGCCGTCTTTGCATTAAATGAGCAAACGACACTTGTAAGAACATGTTTCCTGAAGCTTGACAAGACTTGTTAGCTTTTTGCATTCTTTCAGAACTTGGCTTCACGTCTTGAATTTAGAACATGCTTGCATATCTTCTAAACAACGCTTTGCTTGCTAAGTACTTCTGATCAACGCTTGCTTTCAAATATCTTCTGAACAACACTTGCTTTCAAATATCTTCTGAACAACACTTTCTTTCAAATATCTTATGAACATCACTTACTTTCAAATATCTTCTGAATAGAACTTGCTTTCAAGTAACTTCTGAATAACGCTTTCTTTCAAGGTACTTCTGAAACATATCTTACACAGAAACTTGCTAAGCGTTAGAAGATGCATTTAAATAATTATCTTACCAGAGTCAGCATCAGCATCAACACTTGCGCTAAAACAAATGGTTCTTTCATCAAAGAACTTCTTCATTTATTTTCAGCTCAGCACATCAAAATGCTTGTCAGAACATTATCTGAAACAATTAAATACGTTCATCAGAGTATCAAATATATAATTTATAAATTATTGTTATCATCAAAACTCTGAGATATGATCAGAACTAATCTTGTTCTAACAGTTCTATGCCATATTTCAACTCTTAATCAACACATCAACAATTTTTTCAGTTCTTAATAAACAGCGAATCAGAAGGATAATATCACAACAGTTTATAGAAGTTCTAATCCTAAATCTGAGTCTAGCCCTAATCAAGAAGTTCTGATCCACAAATTTTCTACTTATGCAATGATATGTACAACATTAATACTATGATATTTACATATTAATGATGTTCTGAATGAAAAAAATGCAAAGTCAGAAAGACTTACCTTGAATTTGGAGCGTGGGCTTGGAGCTTTGAGCTGCTACCTTTGGATGTTCTGGAATCAACAAGAGTAACAGAAGAGGAAGTGCCAAGCTCTTTGATTCAAAAGGAAGAACAAAGGTTTGGTTTTCTGTTTGGGATTTATGAATTTTTTATGAAGGTTTCAACTTCCTTTTCTCTCCCTTTTTTACCAATCTCTCTTCCTCAAAGCCCCGTCCCTTGAACGTGTGATGGAGCAAAGTACCATTATCGCATCACGATCCCCTCCTCGAGTTGCCGCTGTTTCCAATGTGGCATGTCGCGTGGCTTTGATCACTGTCGTTGTTCCAGGCGGATCCCTTCCGTATGTTGTGCGGCCTCTCCACGACTCGATTTTTTTTTTAATTTTTTGCCATTTGAGATTTTTCTAACTTTTTCTGAGTTTTACAATTTATCAAACCTTTGGCCCCATTGAAACCCAACTGCCCCAAAAAAGCACTAAAAACTAACCGTTATTCAGTCAATCAATTTCGCCTCATCGAAAGGCTTCAACAAGGTTATCAAAACAAGGTCAACAATGATCAGGTAACAACAATTAAAATAGTATCACAACAATCGCCTCAGAAAGTTTTGACCATACCTTCTTTGGCCACAAACATAAACACAAAGAATTCAGATGAAGAAGATATGAGGGTAAGGATCACTCACCATACGACTGCCTAAACACCCATATGTGAAAAATTCTCTCCTTACCTTGAATTTATAGACCGATGAAGCTTTTGGCTTTTGCGATTTTTCCCCGATTCCTTCCAAACGTTCATTTTAGGTTTTCTGCCTCTTTGTCTCTTTTTCCAAAATTTTCATGATCTGACTAAAGTTTCCCCTCAACTTATCTATTTATATGAAAACCTAATTTCTCTTTATTTTAATTTATTTTAAAAATCATGTCCTAGCTGTTGGTAATTTTCTCCTTACCACACTAATTATATTCCCCCCAACACATAATATCTCTAATTTTCTTTATTATTTCTATTATTTAAATTAATTAATTCGAATAATTTTACTAAACCCAAATAATTCCCACACCAATTAAATTAATTAAATTATTCTAACACGCCAAAACAATAATATAAAGTATGAAAATAAAATATTTAAAAAATCATAGTATTACACTAGTGATGATTTGACTAAGCAGCAGAAAAATCTCAAAATTTACGATGGGACACTCCTCACAAAATGAATGACAAAGATTGGCTAGGGGATGTCCCTTGCAAACACACACTTTTAATGACGTCTTTTTCTCTGTGCATTGGGTGACCCTTTACAACACTCAATTTCAAAATTTCAAAATTCCCTACTTAATATTTGTACGGGACATCTCCATGCAATATAGTTTTTTAATATTTATTTTGTTTTCTGCGTTGCAAGAGGCTTAACTCCGAATAACATATTAATTTAGTGAAGAGTTTATCTCTGACAAAATAAAAAAAAATTTATAGTGCATTTTTTTATCATTAAAATATATTCTTTTAATATCTTTTCCAAATTATGTTTGCACCATATTACAAAATTGAATAAATAGTTTGCACCATATTACAAAATTGAATAAATAGTTGTGGTATTTTGCTCATTAAAAAAAATCAAGTTATCTAAGTCCAGTCATCAATAAATAAAACCAAGTATTTTTACACTATTTTATTTTTGACATAAGGGTAGCCCCCGACATATAAATAAATACGATTAAACAACACTTTTAGTAAGACTCAAAGAAAAAGTATTCGGATGATACTTAGAAATTTGCATATGTCAGTAACAAATATATTTAGATAATATTTGAGATATCAAGAATTTCTAATTCTTTTTTAATATTGAAAAATAGTTTGGTTGCAAGAGATTTCATAAAGATATTTGTAAGTTGATTTTTACAATGAACATATTCAAATTTAACATTCCATTTTACAACATGGTAATGGAGGTTGAAGAGAACACCTTCTAACCATCTTGTATATCACAAAAATAGTATAAATTTAATATTTATCGACAACTCCAATTGTATTTTTTTTTGCAATATTCTAAAAAGTACAATGAAAATGAAAAATATTTCTCTACAATTATTATCCTCGGTAAACTTACAAATAATTATACATTTGTTCGAAAGATCATGATATGAAACACATTTTTTAGTTTTAAAAATTGAAAGTCAATGTCTCCACAACCATCAACATAAATATGAGAATCATATGTAATCTTAACATAAGGAATGCTGGAAGGAGAGGTATACTTCAAAATAAATTCATAATCAAATATCATATGAATCCAAACAGAATGATATGCACCATAATGAAGAATCCAAACACTTCTAACTCCACCATAAGAATATTTCAAGATTGAAACTAACATTAGATTTATCTTTCGACATATTGATCGATGACATGCAACAATGTGTTGTTTCACTCTTGTTGTACCAAAACAATTTTCACTTTGCAAAGTAGATATATAGATAAATAAGCCCCCAAACAATTTTTTGGAGGCAATAATTGCTATAATGAAATTTTCACTTTGTAAAAACCCACATAAACTGGTTGGAAAAGAATAATTTAAAGTTCCTGAAATCATGTAGGCATGAAAACTCAAAAAAACACAAACATCCAAAAGGAAAATCAAATTAGAGCTTTCTGTGTTGATTTTTATCAGGTGGTGGTGCTGTCCAATACTTTTTAGCCGCTATCAATATCTTTTCTCTTTCGAGTGGCCCATTTTCATGATCTACAATTCTCCCATCCCATTGCATTGCATCTAAAGATCTCTTTACTTTCAACAACACATCGACATCATCGCGTAAAATGACACTCCCTTGTGGCCTCAAAATCCTGTCCATCTCAAGAAGAATGTCTTCTATTTTACATCTCTTCTCATAGAGGCTAAAAACAGAATCTGCATGTATGAAGTCGTAGGTTCGAGGATATGTGGACATGGCTTCACACCTAAATGAAGACAAAAGTAGTTAGTAATAAAATCTTAACTACAAAAGCTACTATTAGTGGGAAGTCCTAGAGAAAAAAAGCTATTACAAAGTGAGTATCGCCTCTAAAAGTGCACAATTATTAAGTAATCCATTATCCAACTATAAATTTTAGTGAGCTAAGATTAGGATGCACTTTAGATTAAGTTAATGGGGGACACAAAACTTATGCACGTTACATATAATGCACTCACTTTTTAAAAGATTCATGCTGCAAATCTAATTAGGCAAACAAAAAGCTACTTTCCACTCTAACAAAATAAAAGCTACTTTGTACTCTACTATCTAGAGTAGTCATTTTCAGATTGCGGCGCTATCCCGCTATAGTGTTCTGCACCGCTAAAGCGTTTTTCATAGCGGTCGGCCTCCGCTCCGCTATAGCGGGATAGTGCCGCTATTGACCACTATTCTACTATGTATGCAACAGAACCTAGTTAAGAACTGTTACTGGAAGAAAATGGCCTAGTAAATGAAAGAAAGATATACCAGTTCTGATATGTTCCGATCAATCCACGTTCAAAAACGACGCCGAGTGTGTTGACCTCGGCCTCGACAGGAGCTACATTCATAACCCAAACTGGATCATCAATCATAGCAGCTGCAAAGCCTCCCAAGTAAGCATTCATATCAAGCAAATTACGGAATCTCCCGGGTTCTGCTAGCTGATAATCTAGTGTCTTGTAGTATGCAACTCTCTTCTTCCATAACTCGGTATTTTCTTTGAACATCTCCGCTGTGATTCCTTTCAAACTTCCACTGTTAATCCTTGGCGGAATTGCTGTTAGTCTCTCAGGCCAATTGGTTAATCCTCCACCACTAACATCTTTTATGTCGGTTACTTCAGGAAGTGGTGTTAAACATGTATTCATTTTGGTATACCTGTAATGAAAAAAGATAAATGTTCAGGAACAAGAAATGAACCAAAGAGAAACATGTGCATAAAAGAATCTCCACTTTTAACAAAAAGAAATAAGATTATACAACTCAAAAATCTTTATCAAATAAGTGGTTTTGGTATCACTGCCAAACTCTATTTAGCAGCAAGCATAATTTGCTTTTCATTTTTCACTCTGAAAAGAGAAACTGCAAAAGCAAAATCAAAATCAGTAGCACAAGTAACCATAGAGAAAGGTAAAATACCATGCTGAATCAGGATCCTCTGCATTACAGAAGGGTCTATTCTTGAAGACCTTTCTTGTTATTTTGCAATGTACATGATTGGTAGGTTTTTGCCATATTGCAATGTCACCCTTCTGTACAAGTTTTTTCCAACATAGACTTTTTGCTACTCTCTCAATTGAAACCTGTTCATCATTGAGACTCTCACGAGTCCTCTCCCACCCTTTCCAATGGATCTCCCAATTAATCGGTGGCCCTGATAGAATCCAATAGCCTCCCGGACGTAGAACTCTATCGACTTCTGTCAAATAAATTCCATCTACAAAACAAAAATATTTTAAATTTGACGTTCACATATGTCGCTATATGTAAACACAACCGACACTTAGGTGTCTACAAACACTTATTAGAAATCAGATATATGAAAACACAACTGACACTTATGTATATGACACAAATACGTATTAGACACCGAATACATGTAAACACAACAGACATTTAGGTGTATGACACAAACATGTACTAGGCACCAGATACATTTTCATTCTCAAGTGTCGACAAAAGATGGATAGTTACCATTTTGGCCCCACGGAATGAGACAACGCGAACAATGAGCCATGTCAAAGGATCTTGAAGGGTAAGGAAGCCTAATTGAGGCAAGAACACCAATCAATGCAGGAACTCCTCGTTCAAGAGCAAATTGAACTTGAGCTTCATGTGTATCTCTTGGTGCAAATGACACTGCTATTATGTCACGAGGCAAAAGATAAGCTCCCCAACTTGCAACCTGATTAATTAAACATTTGTCACATTAACTAACTTATGCTAATTAAATTGGTTTGTACTTTGCTTCAATAAATTAACACATTCCATGTTGCTCTAAAATCGGACACATAATTAATCACACATGTGATGTGACTATACAAATATTACCACAAGATGAAGTAACTTAGAAATTAGGCCAGAGTATACATGATTGAAACTTCTCAACAAACAACATAATCTAAAAAATTAGTTATCGTTATGATTAGCACTAAGTGAATTCAAAATACAATATTATATTTGTTCAAGTAATAGTTTAAGTCTTTGAGCGAAATTGTACCTTTTTTAATGTTTGGTTTAGATGAAACTTTACTTGAGTTTGAAGAATTTAAGAAGATTGTTTTGCAAACTAGTTATAGTTAAAGTGGTCCCTACATTTACCTTTTTTCTCTCTACGAAAAGGACAATTTCGTAGTTGAGTCTATGATGTGACTAATATACTCTAACTATATATATTTCAATTTCAAAGCATTCAATTATTCCCTATCCAATTTTAGTTTAGAGCCTAACAAAATTCCTTCACGTCTTTAAGATAAAGATAGACAACTCAGTCACAATAATAGACTAGATAAAATTAAATTAAATATTGACATAGAGACCATGATTTACGTATATTCACAAACAACTAGAAAATAGCAAAAAAACAAACAAAGAAAGTCAAATGTAGAAAATTTATAAAATATTGACGTATAGAGAGAGCATGATTTACGCATTTATTCACAAAAAAACTAGAAAATGCCAATAAAAAAATACTAAAAAAGTCAAATATAGAAAGTTTATATAAAATAAAATAATTAAATATTTGCAAAACTAGTGACAACATGGTGAAATATACTAAAATCAATGGATACCACCTGTTTTGCATAATGATTACCAAAACCATGTTCATTTCACAAACTTATCAAAATCATAAATATTTTCCATAAATAATTGTATTACTCAAAAGGTATATTATATAAAATGAAATATAATATTTATTGATTTAGATTCCCTTTTTTATTCTTGAACTTCTAAATAAAGACAAAATCACAAATTATTTATTACTAAAACCAAAATCTACCTAAAAAAGTTGGAAAAGAAATAAAAGCAAAATTTTGGTTTGGTAGGTGTATTAGAAGAAAATAGTATAAAAAAACCCGGTTCAAGAAAAACGTACCCCACAACCGGTATCGATAGCGGTTCGGATGGACCCATCTTTCAGATTAATGAGTTTTCCTATATCATCAATGTATGCTCCAGCGCCACGTGGAAACATGGTCCCACCACCGGGAAACATGAACCGGTCCCCTTCGAACCGGACCCAATTCTGGTTCTTTTTCTCGATCGTCAGCTCCTTGTGCGGTACGTTAGCATACCAAGCCCAGTCACGGCTCTCCGGCCACCGCGGCGGAACACGGTAGCCAAACGGGGCGGGGATACGGCACTGGAGAATCTCGTTCTTTTCCGGACAGTGTCTTTCTCGATAGACTAGATTCTCTCTAGGGAATTTTAGTGATCTCTGTACGTCTTCACATGGAGTGTACTCTGAGAGTTTGGCGTCGCAGACCGGAGCGTGGATTACACGCGATAGTGTTTCGGATGGTTCGGGGTTCTGGTGGTGAGCTGAGAAATCAAGAGTGGTGGAACTGGAAGATGATATTGGAATGGAGGTGGAGTTGGTTTGTGGACAGTTTGGACGGATGGTGGTACTGACAGCTGAGAAGCGGTTTTTGCCGGAGATGGCGGCGGCGGTGGTGGTGGTGGCGGCGGGGGAGTTTTGCCAGAGGCCAAGGAGGTAAAAGCAAGTGCAGAGAAAGATGGTGAAGGTGAAAAAGTAGAGTCTTGGAAGTGATTTATTTGGTTTCTTGCTGGTGAAATTCTGAAAAAGATTTGATCCGAATGAATTCGCCATGTTAATTGTTTGGTTGATCGGAAACGACGAGAAAGAAAGAAAAAGAAAATGGAGAGAGAGAGTTATCAAGTTATGAAACCATGAACGTTACTTGTTCATGAGGGTGACGGGTTATATACACTATTATGTTATGTATTGTATGTATATATATAAAGAGAAAGAGAAAGAGAGAGAAAGACATTTGGACTGGGGTGTGTCAGAATAGACGGCTTTAACGACATAAGCCAATAAATATTTATTCTCCTTGCAGTTTTTTTTTTGTTCTAGTGGTCAACAATTAATTAATTTCAGATTTTCTTATTTTTAAATTAAAAATAAAATATTCAGAATATATAGTGTATTTTGATTCACGAATTGATTTTAATATAATTAAATTTAGAAGAATTAATTCTATTAAAATTGAATTTAATATATTTAATTTATATTTAAATATATTTGTGTAAAAATAAATTTAACAATAAATTTTAATGTAAAAATCATTCAAAATCAATTTTGAAGATAAAAATTACAAATTATGATTTCAAATAGAATCAATTTTAAAGACAAAATCAATTATATTTTTGATAAATCAAATAACTCAAAATCATCTAAAATTAATTTTACACATTTAAAAATTGACTGTGTCTTCCAAAAACTAATCCAAACATGATAATAATGTCTAATAAATATCTTGTTTTTCTTCTTTTTAATATGTTTGATAAAAGAAATTTTTTTATAAGATGAACACTCTAATACTCTTAAACTTAATTGAATATTATTATT